CAAGCCTGGAGGAGCAGTTGAGTCAGAGCCAGGAGCACCCAGAGGAGGGAGTGAAGTCAGGAGGGGGGACAGGAATGGGTCACAGGGGAGGGGAGGATCAAGTGGATGGTCAGGCATGAAAGGGGCAGGAGGGGGCTGGGCCACAGGGTGAAGGCTGCAGACTTTATCCCAAAAGGTAGGTCTCCCCTCTATGTGGCCAGGCTGCTGGAAGGGGCTGAGGCAGGAAGAGTGCACTGGGTCATGGCACTGCCTCCAACACTAGACTTGGAGATCCAGGCTATCCGGCAGGTAGGTTCTGCTTCCATGGAACGTTCTGGAGGACACCAATGCAAAAACTCTCCATATGTCCCTGTGCAGACCCTCAATTTTGGCCCACAGTCCTAGCGGTCTGGGTGCTTGATACTTGGTGACTCCAGCTCACACTGTGGCCAGAGCAGCACCCCCCAGTCACCTGCCCTTCTCTAGCTTGCTCTGCCTCAGACCCATCCTGAAACTCCTCTGTGGCCATGTGTCTTAACATCATCTCCCACCATCTATGGTCCCATCACTAATTTCCTCTGTCTCTTCCATGCCTTCCCAGCCTCTTTCTACCTGTCAGCCCCACACCTGCGCCCTCCTCCACCTGTGTTGTGCCTGGGCCCCACCTTGCTCTGGCCCTTCCAGGTTCAGATACAGCTGCTTCTTTCAGGAGCAGGACACAACAGGTACTGGCCTCTCCAGTCCTCTTTGTGGAGTGTGGCAGTGGGAGGAGTCTGAGGCTGAGCCGCATGAGGAGGCTGAAGACCCTGCTAGAGAACAGGTGATCACAGAGAAACTCTGAGCCACAGGAGTCTAGGGGCTCCCAAGAGTCTCTAGGGATCCCACTGACCCTCTCTTACTCTCTGCTGTGTCATCTGCTCATTGAGCTTACAGAGAGCCTGCTGCATGCTGGGTATGCAGCTCCAATCAACAGGACCCACCCTTGCCCCCAAGGGACGGGCAATCTCAAGCAGCCCTATAGCAAACCTTCTGGCTGCCCTTTTTTACAATTGTGCATACTGTGAAAAGATGCATGGCAGTGGCGGCACTGCTGCAGTCCCAGCACTCTGGTAGGCAGAGGTGGGCACAGCTCTTTGAGTTTGAGGTCAGCCAGTCTACAGAATAAGTTCAGCATAAGCAGGGAAACCCTGTCTCGAAGAAGAAAGAAAGAGAAATAGAGAGAAAGAAAAGAAAGAATGAAAGAAAGGAAAGCCTAGCACTGAAGTGAATCTGAATCTGAGCTGCACAGAGAGACCCTGTCTCCAAAAAGAAGGGTGTGGGAGGGACCAGCAGGAAAGCAAACTTAACAGCTTAGCAAGATCATGAGACCCCTTTCCCTGGGAGTGCAACTCAAGGTCTGTACTGTGCTAGGCAAGTGGACCAAAAGCCCTGTATACCACTGTGCTGGCCCTGTATACAGCTGAGTCACCCAAGACAGAAGAACCCCAAATGGGCCAGTTCAGGTGGCCATTTGCCTGGAACAGAAAGGGTGTCTGTTTGAGGTGGGAGGCAGCAAAGGGAAAGTGACCTTGTGTTAGGACCTGCGAAGCTTGGGACATAAAACCACACAATGTTCTAAGGATCCATAGGTAACTTGGGTGAGGAGGTGACCTGGTGAAGGGCTGTGAGCAAGGATGGACAGTGTAGGAGGGCAGTGCTGAGAAGGGACGTAGGAGATGTTAGGTTTTTAGGTGAGGTGACATCCTGTAGGACATCCAGGGGATCCCAGAGCTCCCAGGCGAACAAGCCTGGAGGTCACTGATTGGTAGGAATGGAATGTAGTGACTCTCACTGCAATTCTAGAACTGGGAAGGCTAAAGCAGGAAGTTTGCCATGAGTTTGAAGCCAACCCAAGGTACTGAGTTAGACCCTACTTAAAAAAAAAAAAAAGAAGAAGAAGAAGAAGAAAAGAAAGTAGAAAGTGTGGGCTAGGTGTCCATCCCAGCTCCAGGCAGTGGAAGCAGCAAGATAGGAGTCAAGGTTAGCGTCATCCTCTGCAACATATTGGGTTCACACCAGCCTGGGCTACAAGAGACTATCTCAAAACACAGTAACAATAACAAAAAGGCCAGGTTAATAGAGGTGACAGCTGAGGTCACAGGCACAAAGACGTCTCTGGAGAATGGGCTGTGCAGAGGGGTAGGAGCCTTCCAGAGGCCCCCAGAGGGAAGAAAGGAGAAAGTGCTGAGCCCCCTCTTGGCACAGGCTGGTGGACCAGGACCTCCTGGGAACATTGATCTCTGGTACTCAGAAGGAGTTAAATAGTCACCAGTGTCCATAGCATATCTGGCTTTCCTGGGAGGGAGCCCCAGGGAAAGTTTAGCAGCTTGTATACCTGGAAGCCATCCCCGTCAGTCTGGACCCCAGGTAGAGGGATCCTTGCTGGAGCTGGGTCACAAGCCCAGAGAGGGTTTCTGTGCAAAGAGTTGAGGACACCAAACCTTCATGTTCTGCAGAGAAACTTGCAGAGAGAGGCAGTACATGCTCTAGAAGGAAGCCGAACACTGCCCTGGAGGTAAGGAGCAGGTTGACAGTCCTCCCTCTGCCACAGGTGATGTGGGTCCTGCCTGTTAGAGGATAGGGACTGGAGGCACCGTGCAGGAGTCACATACCCTTCCTTCCCGTTCCTCAGTCAGAACCCTGGGCCTGCCCTCAGCCCATTCTAGCCCTGGCAATTCCAAGAGGGGGTGGGCACCTGGACCCCAGGGAGGCTTTCAGGAGCTCTGTGGGCACCCCAAAGACCAGGCTGTCTTTCCAGGTGTCACCCTTCAGGGAGCCACGGGTGTAAGAAAAAGGTTGATGGGGACCTTTTTGGAGGCTCCAGAACCAGTCTTGGGCACTGTTGCCTTAAGGGGCTGGTGTAAGCCTCCATGGGTCCTCAGAATCCCGCTCTGTGACTGATGGGGGTGTGTTTTGAGCCTTACTCAGGCTTTGAGTAAGGATGGAAAGCGCTAGATGTCTGGTCACAGCGCCCTCAGCTTCCTGTGGTGCACCCCTCCTCCAGACTCCTGCTGCCACAGCTAATGAGGCCCCTACACAACCTCTAATTGGACTTGTCTGGGCAGAGCTGAGATTGGGCTGGCTCAGAGCTCTGAACAGTGTGACCTCCTACGTCATCAGGACGGAGGAAAGAAGGGACTTACGCCTTCTGGTTGGGACTGCTAAAAACACATTTCCAGGGTGGTGCCTAGCCCACCTCCCTCTAGGAAGCAGAAGGCAGGGGATGACAAACACTGGGGCCCAAGATGGGCTGGGGTTTGACCTCGAGGTGGGATATGGGGACTCAAAAGCCTACAACCCAAGTGAGCATTTCAGGGGATTGCACAGCAGTGTTTAGTGGGACTGGGCTGTGTGCCTGAGGCTCTGGCTTGATGGCAGCTGCAGGATAAGATCCCTGATCCTCAATGAGGCATAGGCTCGTGACAGGGGCACCTGGCTCGCTGTGGAGCCACCAGCCTCTGAAGTTTGATGCCAGGGCCTCCCTGAAACATAGGTTGGGGGTGGGAGGCATGATGTTTGGCACACCCAGAGTAGTGACTTGGACATAGGGAGCCCAAATAGTGAGGTTCCAGTGCTGGGAGAAGGGAGCTGGATATCCAGTGTCTAACAAGACTTGAAAGACCAAGGCTGAAAAATGGCATAGCACCCTCAACAGGGGTACCTAGAGTTCATACACCCTAGGGATCTGGTATGGTGGTAAAGCAGGGAGCCTTGGTTCTCTCTGGGGATCACTAGAAGGGGACAATTTGGAAGGCCTAGGTCAAAGGCTTCTGAGCCTTTTGGAGGTCATAAACTCCAAGATTCTATTTTTTCTTAATATCTGAAAAGCATACACAGCAGGGGCCATCAGGCTGAGTTGTACTGTATCTGTAGCTTCCAGCTGGAAAAGACAAGTAGGGGAGTTAGGGTTTACAGTTACCGTTTGCTGTAGGTTGTCCAGAAGACAGGAAGAAGAGGAAGAAGATGAGAGCTGGGTCCAGGTAGGCAATCCCTAACACCCTTCCTATCTTCAGAAGCTGAGGACCTAACCCCAGCTCTTTCCCACAGCTTTGACTCCTCAGGAACAGACAGAAAAATCATTTTGTCAGGAGATAACAAGGCCCTCGCTGCAGCTAATGAGACGCAGGGGTGGAAACGGGGAGGCTGGAGGCAGTTGACAGCCAGGATGTCCCCAGAGACCCCAGCCACATATGTACAGGCGGCAGTCGCCACACTCACAGGTGTGGCTACACGCCGCCTGCATCACAGACTCCCCTCAACAAGGAACTGGGCCTCGGGATCTGGCCATACTGCTTGGGTCTGGGCTCCTTTACCCTTCTCTGTGGCAGGGTAAGGTGGAGCTCTCAGCCCAGCTCTTGTTAAGAGCAGGTAAAGGAACTTGAGAGATGAGTCTAGGGTCTGCAGAGGAATGTAGGGGAGGCTCTGGAGTCCTCACCTGCCCTGTCACTCAGGCCCTCATTGAGGAAGCCCAGCCCTTCTCTCTGCTCTCAGTTCAGGGCTGGGCAATGTGGGTTCAAGACCTGGCAGTTGGGAGTGCCATGCTAGTTGGCTTATCATTGTTGGTTGGTTTATCATTGTATTTGGAGCAAATATGTGCATAGGAAGACCCTGACTGACAAATAGGTGTCCCTTCCAGAGAAACAGGAGGGGTGGCAGGCTGGCAGAGCCTTCAGAATTGGCTGGCACTGGGAGGCAGCTAAACTACAGTATGTGTGCCCCAGCCCAAGGACAGGCACCTGTAAGTCTTTGCCCTAAGGGCTAGAAGCATACACAACCAGTTGGCAGGGAAAGAGAAGGGCTAAAATGCTCTCACCATTATTGACTGCTGTGTAGGCACTGTTCTAGCCCCTCTGTTTTTCCCCACTCACTCACATTCAGTCAGCCCTGTGAAGGGAAGACTGCCCTCATCTCTGACCCAAGGACGTGTGGTCTCTCTAGTCTGCATCCAAGTGCTGACCAAGGGCTCTGCAGATTCAGTGAGTGGGTGTGTCCTGTCCTT